GTCTGAGTGGATGGAGATAATACAGCTGCAGGATGTGTGGTGTTCTGGGTGTGCAGTCCATAATAATCCATCCATATGAATGGTCAGAGAGGAGACTTCTTTCATTGTCTTGGTTTATGCTGTAGTCGCTGTAGTAACTCATATCTTAATATGTGTTTTTTTTGACTGTTCACACACTACATAAAGCAAAACACTTATAAGTCATTATCCTAGATATATTTATGCATGTGTTGTATATACTGCTGTAGAGATCCTGCAAGCTGCAGTCTGGTGCTGTTTGTCCTATCATGGTCAGAAACTGAATTTGTGTGTCTGCTGTATTGAGTTAGTGTGTCTGGAGAGGCTCCAGTGGCAGCAGACTGGCCTGTCAGATGAAGAATGTCTTAACTCTGCTGGAAAACAGACACTGAGGCCTTCATATACATCTTAATGTCCCCACTAGTAACCTGACTCAGACTCTCAGACTGAAGGCTGGACTGTGATTTATAAACGCCGACTGCCATTTGCAACAGTGCTGATAAAAGCAGCTCCGTCTAAAACTAATGAGGGATAAAGCATTGAACAGGAGACGAATTATGAACTAATTCATATCAGTGTTGATCAAGCTTAAAAATCTGAATGGAAGCAGTGGTGGAGGAAGTAATGAGATCCCGACCGTTGCCATCTTTTGCCACAATCAGGGTTGGAGCTGCAGTATCGAGATCCCGCCCATATGCATGACTCAGCTGTCAACCTTTTTATGGCTTTGAATAACTAATTAAAGCTATGTTTCATTTAGGGATGCATCAATATCACTTTTTTTACACAAGTAATACAAGTACTTTCATTTTGGCAGTGCTGCCACCATTGTCGAGTCCAAGACCAGAACTAGTCGAAACCTGTGAAAGACCGAGTCCCAAGAGATCCTGTTTATTTCCAGTTGAGTCCAAATGATAGAGACGGAGACGGAAAAAAGGAATGCTTTTACTACTGCCAGTGACATGAGTTTTGGCAGCTAGGCATAGGATTACAGGTGACATTGGCTGGTAACCATGGGTAGGTAACCAGGAAATCATGGTTACAAGGTGGCCAATGTAAATGCTTGTTCTAGATGGATTTAGAATTAAACCAATGGCTGTTTTCTGATGAAGTGCGCTTCATCAGTGGTTTTTTGAAGGAGGAAGTTAGTTAAAATATATTGCTGGACTTGGTTGAGACCAACTATAATATTTGGCTACCAATGGCCAAGTCCCAGACTAGTCCGTGTGCAAATACCAACAAGTCCAAGACAAGTTTGAGACAACAGAATTGACTCAGACTTGATTACTACTGTATTTTGGTACCTTCTGATACGGAGTACCAATGTGTGTAATAATTACAGGTCTAACATCGACTTTGAAAATCCAGTTTTATTTTCATCATATGTTGACTCACTTTCTGACTGTATCAAATTGAATATTGCTAATGTTGTTGTAAAAGTTTCTTAAAATATTATAAAATAATATAGTATCGGTGCATCCCTAGTTTCACTGGTCCGTCTGTCTTTCAGATGGGTGGCACTTGCACCAAATAACCGGTCCCTAAGGCCGCTGTAGCAGGGAACCGTGACAGAGCTTGTTTGTAGATCACATCGACATAGAACCTCCTGCTCTCTAATGAAAATCAATTGTGACTGGGTGCTGTCGGGCTTTTGTTAAAAGAATCAATGAATCGTGAACAACCAACACACACACACACACACACACACACACACACACACACACACACACACACACAGAGTGAGTGAGTGAGTGAATGATCATTGTGTGTGCTCCGTTGCCCTGGAGTAAAGCTGTTAAACAGATGCATACATTTTTTATGAAGATGCCCTCAGAGAGCTGTCATATGTTTGCATGTGTGTGTGTGTGTGTGTGTGTGTGCTATCCTGACTATCCATAATTAATATAATAAATACCCTGCTGTAGGCAGTCATACAGATTGTATTAATACTGATACAACTACACAGTCTAACATGACGGATTTGTGATTAATTGAATGATTTCCTCTGCCTATTTATCAATATACAATGTATCCTTAGGTAAGGTCATAGGGTTCACCTGAAGGGACCAGACGATCGTGCAGGAAGAAAACTCATCAGATTTCAGTGTCTTTTTTTTTATTATTTTATGAACACAGGAAACAATGGTGGTCATTAAAACCATGATGTGGTAAATGTATGGACCTGTACTTGTATAGCGCCTTTCTAGTCTTCCAACCACTCAAAGCGCTTTTACACTACATGCCACATTCACCCTTTCACACACATTCACTCAGTGATGGCAAAGCCCATTGAACAGAAACTAACATTCATACACATTCACACACCAATGCACGGCATCAGGAGCAATTTGGAGTTCAGTGTCTTGCTCAAGGATACTTCGACATGTGGCACCAGGAGCCGGGGATCGAACCTTCCGATTAAGGAACGACCCGCTCTGCCGCTGAGCTACAGCCACCCTGATGTGTGGAGAGTATCTGGCCATTAGTTGTTGAGATGTTGCTTTGAACTAAAGTAATGGATGGATGGATTTCGCCATTGTGGGACAAATAAAGGAATATCTATCTATCTATCTATCTATCTATCTATCTATCTATCTATCTATCTATCTATCTATCTATCTATCTATCTATCTATCTATCTATCTATCTATCTATCTATCTATCTATCTATCTATCTATCTAGCAGATGGACTGTGAATGATCCTTTTGGTCTAACTGATCACTACACACACACAGGCCCTGCTCCTGGTGCTACACTGTGGACACATTAATATACTGTATCTTTTTATGATGCCATCGTAGGTTTCACTGGAGATTTATAGTATCTCCATTGGCAATGGTTTACTGTCCAATTCCAACATTTTAAAAAGATGATAGTGAAGACAAATAAAATATGGCTTACATATGGTTAGTGTTCAGCAAGTAAACACTTAGTTAAGGTCAGTGAAAAATCATGGTTAATGGTTAATAAAAATACAAATGTTTTGGCTTAGTTGATTCAATATTGAACTTGAATAAAGTTGGGAGACTTTTGAGAGACTGATGTAGAAGTAAGAATGGTTAATAATAATTTGTAAAGCAAGGAGTTAAGTCTAAGCTTCTGTGGGGGGGTTATTTAGGCGAATAGACAGAAGACGTCATACAACAGTTTTCGCAGGCTGAGGAGCACTAATCATAACTGAATCTGACCTTTACAGTCCAGTGTGTAGGATTTAGTGGCATCTAGTGGTGAAATGGCACAGTGGCCAAATACGCTTGACACTGCTTGCATTAGTATTTGATGAGCTAGAGAACCGGCTGTGGTGTGTGTAGGAGAAACTACAATGTCCACGAAAAACATGGCGGACTCTATGGAAGGTGAACCTCTGTGTCTGTAGATAAAAACAGCTCATTTTAGGGTAACAAAAACACGATTCTTATATTCAGGTGATTATACATTAATGAAAACATACCTATAAATATCATATTCCATTTCTGTTAATAGATCCTCCTAAATGTTACACACTGGCCCTTTAGATTCAGTGGAGTGGCCCTTTACTAGGAACTACAGCTGATAGCAGCTCTTATATTTTTGCTTGGCCTCCTGTACAACTAAGTGAAAGGTTATTTTACAGTGAATCTATCTGTTTGCACTCAGACTTTGCTGCAGTATACTGACCCCAGTTCAGTTCCAGCTGATGCCAGTCACATGCTGCCTCTCTGAACACAGATCAGATTTCCGCTGTGCACTTTTATGTATGGAAAACTGGTCAGCTGTGTTATTTTTGACAGGGACAGTAAATGTCTGCCCTGCTGTCTGTCACTGTGTGTGTGTGTGTGTGTGTGTGTGTGTGTGTGTGTGTGTGTGTGTGTGTGTGTGTGTGTGTGTGTGTGTGTGTGTGTGAGAACAATTTGACACATTAGTGTGTCATGTGAGCTGCTGCCAGGAATAATACCTTTGCAGTCACAATAGGCATGAGTGCTGTGGAGAAGGTCAGAAGAGGAAAGGGACACACACTGAACACAGTATGAACACTGCCTCCTGGTGGATCAACCCCACACTGAGAGTCTGTTTACTGGTCATAGATCAGTCATATAATATTTAATTTAAGCTTAATTTCTAACATTAAGTAATCTCACTTAAATTTTAAAGCCCTTTCAATGGTTTCAATCATAGCCTAAGTAAATGTGGTCATGTAATGTTGGTAAGCATCCTCATGAGGGCGCCATTCACCAACTGAACTTAGATCAGAAGTTGAGCAGACTTGGATCAGTAAACTATTGTGGGATTGAGAGTTAAATGTTTCATTTTAAATAATATTCATAAGAAAACATATGTTCTTCTGATTTAATCATTTCACTCTCTGCTGGAGGTTGGTGGTTTTCATCCATCACTCTAGCATCTGTTGTGAGTTGAGAGGCAAAACAAGTGAGAAGTGCACATGCGCCAACCGTGCATGCAGGCTGTTGCAGTTGCTCCTGTTGTCAACTGATTTGCCCTCTGGGATCAATTAAATATTTCTGATTCTGAAAATAAAAGCAGAAAAAGAGAATGACACCAAACATATAAAATATCTTAATTTTTGCCTGTGTAGCAATGAATATTAAAGTGTTCTTACACACTGAACACATATATAGTGTGAGAGTTGGTGTTTGTAGAGACAGACCCACAGAGAATCACCACCAACTCTGCTGATTTTTAGTTTAGGTTTTAGCTCCTGTTAGCTCATTCTTTTAGTTTTTCTGGTGCAGCATTCGCAACTGAAGACCCAGAGACCAAAACAGAGCTAAAAGAGAGTGAAAACATTCAGAGACACTGGCAGTCAGTCAGAGTTGGGGGTGCTGAGAGAAACTATATATATATATAGAGATATATATATCTCTCTCTCTCTCTCTCTCTCTCTCTCTCTAATATATATATATATATATATATATATATATATATATATAGAGATATATATATAAATGATAAATGCATGGCATTCATGGTTTCTGCATTAATGTGAATTGCCAGTATACTTTATTGCCTATTTAATAGTTAACAACATACATTTTATAACTTAAATATTTCTTTCCTGCCATAATACCAGTGTACACATGTTCCACTAAAAGAGAACTATAAATTTGAACATTTTTATGAATGAATGGTTCTAATTGTGACAGATTTTAGGGGGTGCTGCTGCCTTCTTAGCACCCCTACTTCCAGCCTCTGTGCTTACATTCCTCAGGTGGACACAAGCAGAATGAATAATAATATTGCTCTGTGTCTGCTGGATGTTGTAACCATATCAACTTTATAACGTGGATCTATGTCAGTGTTGTCTTTACGGCTTGTTGCCCCTAACTGGCTTACTGTGGTTTTAAGATTTTCATTGTATCACAGCACTATTGGACACAGAACCAACCCCACTGTACTGTCAGCTTCATCACAGCCCATTAATCATCTAAGTCACTATGTGTAGATGATGTGTCATATTATATTAGGTTATGTAATGGTAGAAATTAGCCTATATAGTGATGTGCATTTTAAATAATACCAGCAGATAGCGGCAAAGTTCAAAAATGCTCAGTCTTGAGATTTACAATATACATTTCAAACCACACTGTTGATACTGTTTATGAGCAGCATTTTTAAGCAGTATCCACTCTCTGTGTCTGCATTCTGTAAGTGCTTCTCTGTACATCAGTTTGTTTTGTTACTTGTTCAGACTGCTTCTCCACCAACCCCACCATCTATCATCAGTGCCAACAACAAGCAAAGGAATGCCCCGAGCACTCCTATTAGAAATATAGGAATGAGAACATTTGTAAGAAAAGCTTATTTAAACTGTTTACCACTGGGGCTCACCAGTGAATGACTTATGGTGATTAAATCATGCACTCACAGTTCAGAGTACAGCTATTCATTAAAGTGTCCTATATGGCTTTGGTAGAATAAATCAGACTAAATCCCTGTACACTGGAACCTCCTTTTTATTCTGTAACAACACACTTGAAGCTACATTAGGGACTCCTCTATATCTACTCCTTTTAGGCATTTTAGCCTGTATTGTATTGCCTGAGATATACAGGAAACATGGGTAACAGACAGAGTGAAAGGAATAATATGCAACAAAGGTTCCTTATACACAGGTCACAGGGGCCCCACTTAACAATCAGAACCAAAACGTCAAATTTGATCAGAAATGTGGACTTCTTTGTAATCTGCACTAGGGAAGGGAATCAAGGACTGGTTCTGGTTGAGAACCGGCTCCAAACTGTCTGATCCATCAGAATCACATGCCTCCGAGTATACCAGTTCCTTTTATCGATGCTGGCATGTTTTTCTGACAGTTGCACATTGCAAAACAATTATGTCAAGTTTCTACGAACAAGAAAGAGCATAGGAAGAAACGGTCCGAACTATGGCCTCACTTCAAGAAACTCAAACTACCATAACTCTACTCTGTTTCTACACTGTGTTCAGATTCAGAGATAATACAGTTGCATTGACATTGAAAACCTGTGTAGGCAAACACTGGCTCTAGACAGGACCGTTTGCGTTTTTTGTGCTTGGAAGAGGAGGCTGAAGTTGTGATCTGCACTACCACTGCTGTCTTAACCTATAGTGGCATCTAGCAATGTACACCACTATATATGGGCTTATATGATAAACTGTAGTTATATAATATAATTAGAATGAAATATCATTTAAAGGTCATTCATTGGCTGTGACAAACTTGGCAGTGAAGGAACAGAGTGGAGTTGGTGTGATTGGTGGAAGATAGAGAACTACAGTAGATATTTCTCACAGGAGAACACATTAACAGAAAAATAATCTCTCTTCCTTTTGCCCTCACTTTCCCCCTTCAGCTCTGTGAAACTAGGCCAGCGAAGGCTCATTCTCTTACTGCTGCTGCTGAAGTTGTTTTACACAGGGCTAGGGACGGGGGTGGGTAACGAGGAACAAGATAAAGGAGCACAGTGCAAGAAATCTATTGAAATATATTTGGGAGGAATCGTACATTTTTCTAAGAACTGTGTCTCCAGTGAATGATGCAATCTTTGTTAAACTAGAATGCAATAGCAGCATTAAAACCTGTTTTTGGAACCATTATCATATCCATACATGCTCTGCCACACAGCTGCTCCTTCATATTCAGTCCGACCATGCATTTTTAACCACGGTGGAAAGGTCTCAGCTGACCGAGCGTCTGCGGCCCCGCCTTGTCTTTGTCGTCTCCACATCAGCCCTCCTCCGGCCCCCTCGTCTCCATCGGTATTTTCCTCTCCAGCGTTCCCCCTTTGCCCTGTTACCCTGACAACAGACAGACACCTATGCAAGGGTTTCCTTGGAGACGGGACAGACGAGGGTTCCCCGCCCCACTGGTCTGACAGCACGGCTGCAGCACCACCTGTGAATCTGATTTAGACCATAAATAAAAACCTGAAGGAATTTCTTTTTTTGCTCCTCAGCATCACGACAAACACTGAGTCTGTTTCTGTGTTGTCCGAGCTGAGCTGAGCTGCAGTGCAGCTATGGCTCAAGGTCCAAATAGATTGTTTTGTCGTTCTAAGTATGGATTGTGTTTATGAACACAGTAACACATGGCTGTATGACAGATTGTGGATTTGGTTTTGAGGACATGAAGGGTGGAGGGGCAACGAGGATTAAGAAAATCATCTCCTGCTGTATTCTTTCTCTTACCGTTTTAAAGGAGATCACATGAAAGCCAAAAAATATCAGACAAAACTCTGAATCAGAACAGAAAACAGAACATTTTCCCTTTTCAAATTGACTATCCAAAATTTGTCAAATTTTCTGTCATTTATAATCAAAACTAATAAATACAAATTAACTAAAGTAAGTAATTAGAGTTTCATTATAAATCAAATATTAAAGGCATTTAAAAAAAATCTAATTCTGTCAATGCCCAACCCCAGCCTGACCCCAGCCTGACCCCAGCCTGACAGCAGTTTTTGGGCCGTAACCTGGCCCGTACCCAGTGGGTCGTGTCAGGTCCAATCGGGTTCGGGCAGATAATCAAAACTCTAGGTGAGAGCCAAAACTGTAAAGTTATGGGCCAAAAAAATAAGCTCAAAGATGCTAAAATGTTAATAAATAATAAATAACGTGATCTAAGACCTTGTGGATGCCCATTTTAAACTGGGGTAATGCCTGTCTTGGTTCTGCTTCTGAAGCCGCAGCGAGGTTCTAAAGGGGCCCATGAAGTCATTCATTAGGGATTATTTGGTGTTTTAAGTACTGGCCAGCTAAAGGCACAGCTCCATCTCTCATATAGCTACTTGAATGAGAATAAAGTCCTTTAGAAGCCATTGGCTCTAATTAGGCTCTGTATTAAATTGAACACAGCATGGGTGAAACAGCTACTTACCACCGCCTCCTCTGATTCCAAGCCAGAAAACAGGTGCTGCTCTACTTGCACAGTATACCCCTGACAGGCTGTTATTAGACGAGGGATTTGGAATGGGTGGCAGTGCCTTCAGGGAATATCTTCTTTTTGTTCATTTTCCCTTTGCCTTCTACCTTCACTTCTTATTTCCTCCCTACCTCCCTTGTTTTTGTCCCTTTGTCTTCCTGTTCTCCCTCTCCGTTCCCTGCCTTCTTCTTTTCCCTTTCCTCCTCCAACCACATCACGCCTGTTTGATCTCCAGCACTGAAAACCAGCAGCTACAACTGTGCCATCAAAAGCATCTCTGTGGTTGCTATGGTTATTCACTTAGATACAATTACTATAGCAACGCCGTTTCCGAGGGCATAGGAGGAAGTGGCTCAGCAGGAGTCCAGGTGGAGACACACAGAACACACACACACTACAATTGGTGTACCAGTGAGGACTTTACAGTGAATGCAGTCAGTGCATATTGCCATACATTGTTACATGAATAACATCTGTCTCTGTACTAGATTGGAATAATCAAAGAAGATAATGTTTTCCAGAATATCTAGGACATTAATGGTCTAGAAGGCAACGGTTTGCTTTGCGTTTAGTGGGAACACACCACAAGATCCCAAATCTGTGTAGCCTACCATAAAGTACATGTGAACTACCTTTTACATTTTAAACTTTGTTTGCCAACAGTTTCAGTGTCTGTGGACATCTTCACGACAGCTGTGGATATGGGATATATACCAATTATATGTCCCGTAATTTCCTAGAGAACACTAGTGTGAGCAACTTTGAACCACATCAGCTCTGAATGACTCAGTAATGAGTTTGCTGTCTAGGCAGTGACCCTATTTGCAACCCTTTTAATCAGAACCTTAATATACGAATTACAGATGGGTATCATTATCATCACCGTCTCCTTCATGTTCTCTAAGATGGATCAATAGATGTCTGATCTGACCCTGCAGCATCAGTCACAGCTGCCTGCTCGGCAGAATCAGAGGCCGGATCAGATGTAACATTGTCACGCTATGGATCAGCCCGTTAGTCCAATCAATCCCTCATTGTGGCTTTTTTTAGCCACCGTCCTGCTCAGGTCATCAGCAGCTACCGATAGCCTCATTAGACCCTGCAGCCGTTTCATTCACTTAGAGTGAGTGGGTGTGTTGGTCATTTACAGTACACTGTAAACAACTACAGTATTTATTGTACACACAGTTGTTAGCAGCCGAGTTGCAGTGCAAAGAACTGTTTGCTTAAGAAGTAGTAGAAATGGGTGAAAAGTTTTATTATGTGAATCACATTTGACTTATTCCTCACTGTTATTTGTTAAAACACTAGTGTGCAGGATTTAGTGGCATCTAGTGGTGAAATTGAAAGATGGCAACTAACTGAACACCGCTCATTTGTATTTGATCGACCTGGCAATGAACTATGAGAAATATTACCTTCTTACCTTCACCTCTACGTAGCTTTTTAGCCTCTTTTAGCTCATTGTTTTGTTTTTTCAGGCTTGCAAATTCAGCTTTTATCACCCTCGAATACAGCAGCGGGCAGAAGTTTCCAGCTAAAAAGTTCCGATAAACCACTGTACACTACCTGGTCAGCACCAGACAGCAGGCAGACAAAGTTAACAACTAGCTAGTGAGCATAGTGGCGCATTTAGCAGCTACAGAGTCAGATTTTTCTCTCAGGAGTTAATTGAAGACCCAAGCAAAGCTAAAAGTAGAAGCAATATTGGACTTCAGCTCATCAGATGGACACAAACATGACTCCAAATGAATGCTAATGATCTCTGTGTCTGCTGGATGAACACGTTAGCCAAAGCAATTTTTGCATATGTCATGAGCTGAGCCATGATAGTGGCTCTGTGAGGCTGTACTTAGTCACTGCAGTGGTTTGAGCTAAATGCTAATGTCAGCATGGAAACATGCTGACAGTGACAATGTTAACATGCTAATGTTTACCATCTAGGTTTTTAGCATGCTAAAATGTGCTAATTAGCATAAAACACAAAGTACAGCTGAGGCTGATGGAAAGGCCATTAGAATCATTGTGTTTTTGTGTCTTAGAATGAGATGTTTTTATCTACAGATCCTGCAGGTCGCCTTCCATGAAGTCTGCCACGTTGAACCGCTGTGTTTCTACAGAAGCTCAGAACAGACAAACTTAACACTGGCTGTAGATAGGGCTTTTTGTGGCAAGTTACGCGGCCGCCGTAGTTTCTTCTACACACTTCACATCCCATTCCCAGGTTGTCAAATACATTGCAAATTACATTTAGATGCCACTAAGTCCTACACACTGTCCTTTGAACCATTTTAAACCCTAAAATAGTATGTGCTATAGAACAAAAGTTTGTATACTGCTGCTGCTCACTTCTCAAACTGAGACTACAGTGGACTTAACAGTTTGTGTGTGGAGAAAGAATTACGAGAGGCATGAAGTGGATTTTTATTGTGGAGCACATTTCTGTAAAGCAGACGCAGGCACTTGCATCAAGTCCTGTGAAGATCAATTGTTCTTGAATGACTCCATTCAGTCCAGAGAGGAGTGTGTCTCAATGAGCTCTACAACCTGTGGAGGATTAGACTGTCTCATAATCCCGGAGGTGGTGGGAGGGAAGTACACCAAAGAGTTTACTTACCTTTGTACGGACAGAAATCCTCATTGCACGTTCATTTTCAGTCTTTATTACGTCCTAGTAGTGCCAACCTGAACCTCAAGGTTATGGCTTCTTCTTTACTATCCCATTACGGCCCAATAACCTCCCTCCATTTCAGTTCCCCCCTCATTCACCCCTTCCTTGATACCCCAAACTCCCCACCCCTCCCTCCCCTTCATAAAATATTCAGAGAGCCTGGCGCTTGGCCAGATGCCCCCCTCCCTCTTTGGCAGCCAGGCAGCCAGCTGACAGGGCACGTGGCTCACTGAGGGGTACAAAGGGCGGCGGTACAAAGAGCAGGTTGGGCTTTAAAATGCAGAACAGGGAGATTTTCATGATGTTCGCCTGAATATAATGAACCCAGATAGGCCTAAGGAGATTCACTGATGATAAACATGAGGGTTGTGGATTATAAAATTGAGTGCCACTTCATATCAGAAAACCAAAAATATGCATTTCTCTGACTCCTACATGACATGCAGAATCAGGGCTGACCTGACCCTCTCGGGGTGATGGTCCAATCTATATTCTCAGTTTGTAAAAGTGGATCAGTGGCAGTGACACGGTAACTACAATATGGTTAAGCTGAGATAAATAGAAGAATCTATTAAAGCTTTATTAGTAGATGCCATTACTTTCCATTTGGGGAGTAAAAAGCTCCACAACAAGCTGATACCCATACAGCCCTGACATTATCACCTATATATATGAGAGGGTTATAATACTGGGGGTAATATTTATCTGTTCTCGGCCCATCAATCTTCTTACTTTAGTCTTTTATTTCACTGTTAAAGAAAAATTGATTAATAAGGTTCAGAGAAAGGTTCAAGAGTCAGGGTGCTGCTATTGTGCATGTTGGCTCACTGTAAAGGCTCTGCTACACTAAATGGAACAGAAACTTAGTATCATTTGTGATGCCAGTGACACCTGTGTTTGCCCTACTATTTCATTTCTAAATGGAAAGAAGCCACAAAATCCTACACACTGGTCCTTTTAAATGTTTTGAACTCTAATCTAATCTCTATTCTCTAATCCATACAGCACTCGAAACACACTACAAAGTGCTTCACAAGGCAATAAAACAGTATATGGAGCAATAGGTCTGTGCACAGTCATGTAACTGGGTGGTCATTGTTTTGGTGTACATGTACACATACATTCAGTTGCCAGTTTATTAGGTCCATTTAGCTAAAGTAATGCCATCTTATACAGCAGTAAATCCTCCCTTCAGGAAGGATGTCATCTTCAGTTTGTGTTGAAAGTGTTTTAGATAGCTGTTGATCAAACTGTCTGGTCATAAAACATGAAAACTTCCAAGGGGGTGACTACTTATTATAGACACGTTATACACACATACAGTATATACAGTTGCAAACATAGTCCAGCCTTATAGGAATGCCTTCTAAAAACACCACATCCTTGCGTTCATCATGCTACACACACACCACTCTTTGTCCTGTGTTAGACTGAAACTGTCTCCTGCAGAACTGTCCAGTATGAGTGTGAGTCCTGCTGAAGCTGGACTGTGTGAAACTGTGGATTATCAGGGCCCTTTATGGTTTGAAGCCCCGGGGCCATGTTGCCACTTGCCCTTTGAGTAATCCACACTTGTGCATAATCATGGTCTTTCCTGAAAGCTAATCCCCCTGTCCTCGAAGAAAACTCCAGGAATCACTGAAGGAGAGGAATAGAAGCTGAGACACAGCGAGAATAGATTTGGTGTTACGTAAAAAGCTGAAACCTATTTTTCCTAAATGTTTTGCATTTTTCCTTAATTTCTTCTTTTTTAAAATGTGTGTCCTTTGTCTTAATCTTGTCTGTGTCTCTGTCTGTCTGTGCTCCTGTCTCTTCCCCTCACGTCAGCGCAGATTTGTCTCCAGCTCTTGTTAAAGTGTGACAGACTCGTCCACAATAGCATCCCTCAAAGTCACTTCTTAGGACTCAGAGCCGTTTGCAGCTAAATCACTTTGATTGCACTGGGAAGCCTTTATGCATGTCTTTGTGTGTGTGTGTGTGTGTGTGTGTGTGTGTGTGTGTGTGTGTGTGTGTGTGTGTGTGTGTGTGTGTGTGTGTGTGTGTGTGTGTGTGTGTGTGTGTGTGTGTGTGTGTGTGAGTGAGAGAGAGAGAGATGGGAGGCATTCAGTGGCTCTGTGGAATGTGGGAGTTCCTTTTGTCTTGGCATGTATGTGTGTGTTACTGCTTTTTTCCTCTTAATGGAAGTAGTGTCAGGCCAGGTCAATGTCACTGAGGCCTGTGTGTGTGTGTGTGTGTGTGTGTGTGTGTGTGTGTGTGTGTGTGTGTGTGTGTGTGTGTGTGTGTGTGTGTGTGTGTGTGTGTGTGTGTTTTCAGAGTTGGTCTGGGAAACAGTTTGAAAAGACTTGTTCTTCTTCGGGTCATAAAGTGAAGAATCTTGGTTTCTTCTTTGTGTTTTAATTTTATAGGAGTCAAACAGAGAATCCCCTTGTTTTGGCTTTAGTTCTCATGCACACACACTAAACACACTCACTTGGTTAAGCTGGGTCTCAGCATCCGCATAGCCAGATCATTAGCAATCAGTGTGTGTGTACCTGTGTAGCAGTACCACACTCTAGGGCTGTTTACACACCT